GCCCTAGCTTCTCAGTGCTGTACTTTAACCCACTGCACCACAGGGAGGGCCGCGGACACTTATTTTTATGCATATTATGTAATGGTTTCAGGTTAGCAGTTCCCACCAGTGCTGAATAATGAGATTCCTAATTAGCATCCATGGTTGCTTCATCTAAATCTCATTCTCGAGTAAATACCTGATATGAACAAGAATCTAGCTAGTTGTGATGTGAGAGGACATGTTTTTAAGGGAGAAGTAGATACAATATTGCATACTAGTGTGCTAAGTAGCACAAAGTGGTGTTCATACTAGTGTATGAAAACATTTGAATTCATTGACTGCTTGACAGTTTGCAAAGCCTTTTCAAGTGTGCCACCTCATTGATCCTTCCAGTAGTCCTGTGTGGTATAGGAAAAATATTTTTATCTTCATAGTGTAGCACCATAGGTAGAAAAGACTTTCTCCACTACATTATCTTTGTATCTTTGTCAAAATTCAACTCACCAGGCTTGGAGCATATGAAGAATATATATAACAATATAAATAACAAAGGATGAGTGGGGAGGTGGAGCTATATAGTAGCAAGGAAATGCATTAGCAACTAACTTGGAGAGGGGAAGAATACCAGAAATATTAAATATGTGGGTTGATATAAAACTTACATAACTTAGGGCCCTCCCTGGCGGCACAGTGGGTTAAAGCACAGCACTACAAAGCTAAAGCCACTTCAACATGAGTTCGATCCCTGCCTGCCCCAGAGGTGACCACATGGTGTGGCAGATCTGATCCACCTGTTACTCCCCTCAGCAGTGTACTTCATCAGTTGGCCTGTTCTGCTCCCCACTCTGTCTCTGTTGAATCCTCTTACTGCCTGTACCCCGGTTCTGTGTGTATAAATAAATCTTTTTAAAAAAACTTACAGAATTTATAAAAATATATTATTGTGTTAAATATCATATAGCTATATCCTTTCTCTCTTTAAAAAGAATTTATATAAAGCAGTTATTATAGTACCATGTTATTGAGTTTGCAATATGTAGACATATGTGACAATAATAGCACAAAGGAATGAAAAAGGAATGAAGCTATATTGGAGAAGTTTCTATATTTTGTAAGATGTGAGTTAGTATTAATCTGAGATAAATTGTGATAAATTAAGATACATATGATAATTTCCATAGTGTCTGCTAAGAAACTACAAAAACTGATAAAATAATAAAACAAGACAAAGAAATTTAAATGGTACACTAGAAAACATCTATTTAATAAAAAAAGTAATAAAGGAGGTTCAATAAAGAAATACAATGTACAGAAAACAGATAGCAGAATAGCAGACATAAATCCACTGATACTGATACTAGTTTTAAATGTGAACCAAATTAGAAGGCTAGATATAAAAGCCAAACCCAACTGTGTACTTTTGAGGAGACACAGTTTACACTGAGTGACACCATTTGGTGTCACCACCCATTTTGTCTAGTTTTTCCTCAATATTATCTTTCAACATCTGAGTTTCTCAAGTCTTTTGTTTTCTGATGCTCTTTTTATGTTGTTTATTCTCTTGATCATTAAATACATCTCCCTGCTTTTTCCATAGCTTAGTGTTTTTTTAATATTTACTAAACATTGTACATAACTCACAGCCTGATATTGATGTGATCCGGACCCCAAATTGCTCATCCTTTCTTATTTCTCACAAGTAGGGAAGGACCTGATTAAGTCTCATCAGAAACCAAGAGGGGTCAAGGCCGAGTAGTGGCTTCAGTTGTCTAAGTTCTCTTTTGGCTTTAAATGCCTGAAGAGTTGGGTCTGGCTTCTTTCTTTCTCTGGGCTTTGTGGTTTTCCAGCCCCTCACCCAGCTGTTCATGCTGCTGCATAAGTGCAGCAAGAGCACCATGAGGGAGGGTTGGAGAACTGGAGGCATTGGTGTCGGGCCAGATTCCATTCGGTCGTGCTGGTCCAAACACAGCTCCCAGGATCTGCTTCTCCTTGTCTAGAGAGTTTGTGACTACACCTCCAGCCACTGTGCCTGTACCTCACATTGCCTCAGGGGTGCAGTGGCCTTCTCTTGGTCTCTACCTGGGAAGGTGCATTTCTCCTTTGAATTTTGTTCCCTTAAATTTCTTTGTATTCATGTCTGTTTAGTGGGTTTAAAGAACAAAGTGATATTTTAAAGAAATCAGGTGTTTTCTCTTTGTTGTTATGTAGCAGTGGTCTTTCGAAATCTGTTCATCCTAATTAAAAGTGAAATCTTTTACTTTTAAATTAATAATATTGAAAAAAAGCATACTGAACTGGTGATCAAATCTTACAATTTTGTCAATAGGAGTCAGCAAAAAGGTAACTATAGTTTGACACCCTGGTATAGAGACAAGTGAAATAGTTTGAGTGTTCTGTTGAGGCCAAAACAAGCAGATATCAGATACTTTTAAGTAATTAAATTCTAGGGATATATTTAGTTTTTGATCCTATGCCATATGACACTGTATTTATAGCAATAAGTATCAAAAATGGAGGTTCTGAACTGTCCAAACAAATTAAACTTTTGTTTAGTGTCATATAGTTGCATAACAAATTTCAGAAAAATGTTAGAAGTATAAAGTTTTGTACTTGAAGAATTAGTTATAACTGTATGGGAATCTTCACTCAAAAAACTTCATTCATCTGCCCAAGTGTTTTACTATGTGTTTGACATTAACAGATTGGACAAAAGTTTTGACCCTTAAAATAGGTACACTTGGGCCCTCCCTGGTGGCATAGTGGGTTAAAGCACAGCACTAAGAAGCTAAAGCCACTTTACCATGAGTTAACCCCCCACCCAGAGGTGATCCACATGGCGTGGCAGACCTCTACTTACCCGCCTGCTGCTCCCCTCAGCAGTATACTTTGTCAGTCGGCCTGTTCTGCTCCCCACTCTGTCTCTGGTGAATCTTCTCACCACCCATTCACCTCTGGTCTGTACCCCAGTTCTGTATGCATAAATAAATAAATCTTAAAAGTATAGGTACACTTACCTATATAAATACAAGGCAGTGATTACAGCATTGTAGTTTTGCTTCAGGCACCTCTGAAAGGTAAGATAAAGAACTGCACAGAGTTGAGGAAAGGTGACAGGGAAGCCATAAAAGGATGATGCTTTGCTGATTTTTTTTTAAGATTTATTTTATTTACTTATGCATACAAGAGCTGGGGTACAGGCTAGAGGTGTGGGTGAGAGGATTCATCAGAAACAGAGTAGGGGGCAGAAAAAGTAGATTGACTGAAATACACTGCTGAGGGGAGCAGTGGGTTAGACAGGAGAGGTCTCCCTTGCCCTGTGGGTCACCTCCCTAGCCAGGGATCAAACTCATGTTGTAGTGGCTTCTGATAGCTTCATAGCGCTGAGACTTTAAGCCCTGCACCACCAGGGAGGCCCTGAGTTTTTCCAACTCTTAAAAAGAAAATAAGATTTTTCTAGGTAGACAGATATTTATCCAGTGTTTCTGCTTGAGAGTTATACTTAACAACTGCCCATCTTACTGACTTAAAGCACACAAGGCCAATTTGGAAGTGGTTTATGATGAAACATAGTTTGAAACCTGTTCTTTCCTCAAATCATCACGTGTCTGTGTGAGACTCGTGGTCCCTAAAACCAGTTTTCACTCTAAATATTACGTAGTGATTAAATTATACCTTAAGTGATTAAGGAACAGTTCATTTTCAGATTTTCCAAAAGTTTATTGCTGCTTTAATCAATCTTAAATAAATTTCCTTTTCAGTTTTTAAAAGCATAATATTTAGTATAGTGTGAATATTGCAAAGCAGAGAATTTTTAGATTCTTTATAGATTCAGGAACTAATAGGATGGGTTAAGAGTGAAATAAGAATTTTTACTTAGGGATCTAAGGTAGGAACCAAGGGCACCAGTTATACAAGTTGTTTAGAAAATATAATATCAAGCTATTTATGTATTCAGTTGTGGAAAGCTAGTATGCTAATATATCTTTTTCCAATTTCTAGAGAATTGGTTGGTTAGTGGAAAAAACAACTGATCATTTTTATTTGCCTTTGTAAGAAAGCTCCTCTGGAGGTTCCATTTTTACTGAATTATTAAACATAGGCTTTATTGAGTAGGTAATAAGGGTTTTTAGTTTGTGATAAACAAAAGCTAGTAGTGCTTTGAAAACCTAGGTATTAGGCTTGGTAGATTATTTTCCACAGCAAACAAACAGAAATCTTTTGCAATATTAATTGCATGATAGATGATTTTATATTTAAAAATTCCCCATATTTTTCTCTTAGCTTTTATTAAATATTAAAATACATATTGGGACTATGGTGATGGCACACGGGTGATTTGGTGATGGGAAGCCTACAGAGATTACAACTGAGATGGAAAAATGCACAAATTGGTGTAAAAATAAACTATTATATTATTAAAAAGTACATATTGGAAACTATAAAAATACCTGTGTTCAGATCTAATAATTGGAAAGACCCAATAGAAATATTTAAAAACAAAGACAACTGACTGCTGATTGCCACAGCTTATCTTTAACCCCTGCCCCTCCAAACCTGAAAGACCTTTATAGCAATATGGGAGTAATTGAGTAAATTATGAGTCAGTAGAATATTATATATCCATTTAAAGATAGTAATTATGAGTACCAAAGAGAGACTTTGGGGAGAACGTTTATTACAATCTATTTAAAAGAAAAATCCTGAGTACCAGTTTGTTCTACTATAAGAGACCCATTGGGAATGAACACTGAAGATCCTTAGTCAGTTTAGGTGCACAAAATCATATTAGTGTCTTATTTTGTAGGCTTATAAATACAGTTTGATTCTCTCAGGTACAGTGATCAGGAGAGAAGTGTAAATGCAAGTCAGTTGAGATCCCTGATTTGTAGGACTTTATGTAGGAGATGAGAAGACATGTTAAATGTTCCTTGCCTTCAGACATTTCCCTGTGGTTTCACAGTTTTTGATCTTATCATCAATTAATCTGAATCCTAAGAGTACTGTAACTTTGTTTTCAGGATCCGGGAGATCTTGAAGGCCTCTCGAAAACTGCAAGGTGATCCCGATTCCCCGATGTCTTTCACCTTGGCCATAGTGGAGTCCGATTCCACAATAGTGTATTATAAACTTACTGATGGGTTCATGCTGCCAGACCCTCAGGTGAGGCAACTGACAGGAAACAGTGAAAAGAGGAAACTTATGATAATGACAGCAAGTGTGAGCCAAGCATTTTAGAACTAAGACTTTTTTGCAATATGAAAATTTAAGGGGAAAAAAGGCTTGTTTTTCATACTTAAGAAATGGCTGTATTTTGTTTAACGTGTTTCTAGTTATTTTCACAAAAAATTATTTGATTTCCTTACACTTTAGAAAATTTCAGTTTCCCAGAGAACTTTTTGAAGTCATGATGTGTAGCTGAGGTGGAATTTAAAGGCCTAATAATTCACCAAAAGCGTACTTATTCAGAAAATGCTAAATTTGTTGATGGGGGCATTTTATAAAATAAATGTGTTATATGTGATTTCTTTATACTTTGTTGACATAATTGGGATAATTATGTTAAATAACTTTCTAATTTTGCACTTTATATTATTTTAGGTGAAAATGGTCCAGCCTGACCTTTTGTTTTTGTTGTTGCAGAATATTTCTCTTAGAAGATGACACCTAAACTTCCCGACACATCCTTTTTTCACACAAGATTGGATTTGAGGCCTATCGGCTGCTTCACCTTCTGTCTCAGAGATAGTTAGGGTTGACTTAGCTGGCCCCATTTCACAGGTTTTCTTTCTGGAGAATAAAATGTACCCAACTAGAAGAATTGTTTTGTTAGAAAATATGGGGTAGTTGCTCTAGAACTTTCTTATTTGGAGACAGCTTGAGTACAGTTGTGTACACTGTATGGCTAGGATGTGTTCAGAGGGGAGGACCACATGTGTTTTGTCTCCCCTCACTGGTCACTGTCTCGTTGTTGTCCACTGTTACCACTGTTAGCTCGTGGTTGAGTCTGCCACCCCATTTCTCACTCTGTCCTCTGTGCATTTTGACCACTACAGTGATCCTGACGTAATGTTGCATACCATCTTGGTACCTGTAGAACTTACTTCAATATGCTTTTTCATTCTTCTGAGAAGTAATAGCTTTCTTTCAATTGGTTCTCATGTTGCAATTACTGTTACTACCCTCTTCGATTGTTTTTAAAGCAAATCTAAAGTTATCCTCATCCAGATAGTAAAGTTGTATGTGCAGATTAATCAGGGCCAGGAGAGTCTCCTACAAAAATTCTGGGCTTTTCTGTCCATTCTTATTGCTACCACCTATATTAATAGCATTTCTCTATTGTAATGGGTACTGGGGGACAGTGTCAGCCTTAAAAACATCCTATTAAGTGACCCAGTTATTTCACTTCTATTAATATCGCCAGTTAAAAATATAAGCAATTAGGCCCTCCCTGGTGGCGCAGCGGGTTAAAGCACAGCACTAAGAAGTCAAAGCCACTTCCGCATGAGTTCGATCCCCGCCTGCCCCGGAGGTGACCACATGGCGTGGCAGACCTCTCCTGACCCGCCCGCTGCTCCTCTCAGCAGTGTACTTCGTCGATCTGCCTATTCTGCTCCCCACTCTGTCTCTGGTGAAGCCTCTCACCCGCCGCATCTCTGGCTTGTACCCCAGTTCTGTATGAATAAATAAATCTTAAAAAAAAAATAAGCAATTATATGCACAAAAGTGTACCAAGTAACATTACTTGTGGTAGCCCAACTTATAAACCATTCAAAAATTTAAGGCAAAAACCACCAAACTTTTTCTTTAAAGGGGCCAGAACTTAAATATTTTAGGCCATATAGTCTCTGTCCCAACTTCTCAGCTCTGCCATTTGTACCATGAGAAAATAACTGTAGACGATACATAAATATTGCTGTATTCCAATAGTTTTATTTACAAATACAGTGCTATTGTTTGCCATACCTAGGGAAATAGTAACAAGATACATATGTGTGACTAAACAATATACCACACATACATACACACATACATACTAGCTGGTTGTATTAGGAAGACAGGGTAGAAAATGAATGTCTTCAATATTTCAGTTTTTCTTTATTCTGTATTACTTTTATAATAAAAATATTTTAAAATCAGAAAATGTCTTGAAATCTGAATCATCTTTCATCACATAATAATACTACCATGACTTACAACAGCACACACTCAGTATTTCAGAGTTGGGCCCTTCACAAGGCTGCAGTCTTGTGTAAGACTTGATGGGGAAGGGTCGGCCTCCTCACTCCTGTGGTGGGGAGCAGCTTTTCGTTCTCTGGCAGCTGCTGAACTGAGGGCCTCTATTCCTCGTGGTCACCCTCAGCTCTGCCATGTGGGCGTTGCCAGCACAAATGTGTGCTTCCTGAAAGCCAGTAAAGGAGAGCATCTCAACAGAATGGACTTTATATATATATATATATATATATATATATATGCATACAGAACTGGGGTACAGGCCAGAGATGCAGTGGGTGAGAGGATACAACAGAGAGAGTGGGGAGCAAAACAGGTCGACTGACAAAGTACACTGCTGAGAGGGACAGCGGGCGGGTCAGGAGAGGTCTGCCGCGCCATGTGGATCTTCTCCAGGGCAGGCGGGGATCAAACTCATGCGAAAGAGGCTTTAGCTTCTTAATGCTGTGCTTTAACCCGCTGCGCCACCAGGGCCCTGACTTTATGTATTCTCATGCAATATAACCATGTACACCCATTGCCTTTGCCATACTCTATTGGTTAGAAGCCAGTCCTGGCTAATTAACTCTAGAAAACAGTACTAGCAAGAATGGAAAGATGGCAACAGTAGGCACATCACATGATGGCATCAAGCATCATTCTTGGTCTATAGCAGTTCTTGACTCCTTTGATGATACTGAAATTTCACTTTTGTTCTGGATGGACAGTCTCAGTAACTCCTTCAGACCCCTCTGCTTCCTGAAGGCCAGAAGGTAAACGATTTCAGAACAACGTGTGTTTCTGTCACTTCAGTTGATTTTCAGCTTTAAGGATCCTAAAACAGTTAATGACCAATTTTTGGGATCTCTGCTCTTTGAGTCCTTTTGAGACTTTTCATCTATGCTAGAAGAAGTCTGTTTTCAGAAAGAAATGTTAAGCTTAGTTAATGTTAAGTGGATGTCCCAGATCTGGTGACCAGTGGGTCCCTAGGTAACAAGACCAGAAGTGTTTTTTGGAGTTGACTGTGAAAGAAGCTTTTTTACAGAAGTCTCTAAAGTTGTTCTCAATCCCACTGCATGTCCTGGCCTGTTTATTTTAGAATGTTCCCTGTGTACTTGACCAAAATTGTTCTACCCAAAGCCTGCCAGATACCTGTTAGCGTGAGTAATGGCCCAGAACTATTTGGAAAGGGAGACAACCAGGTGGATCTGTCTTATTTTAGTAAAAAGGTAAAGTGATTTGTGTGGCCCAGATAATGCATTTCAGTAATGCATTTATGTTGTCTCCCTTTTTAGACTAGAAGCTACTAAAGAGCAAAGCAAGGAACCATGTTTTTTAAACATCTACTACATCCCACCACCTTGCGTGGTAATTGACAATTTTGTCTCTCCATGAATATTTGGTGATTTAATTTTTTGTCTCAAGGCAAACTAAAATGCTCCATTTGGACACCAGAGGGCACTGTTAAATAAGCTCAACGTTTTCAGACTCCAGGAGCAGATTCCTTTGAGAAGTGATGCTCATGAAAATTTATTTTCAATCTGTGGGAAACCTCATAAGTAAAAATATAAATAAGGTTTATGTGCTCACACCCGCTTTTCCTTTCTGGCATGCCTCTAAAATTACATTCTCTACTGACGTTAAGTATGTTACTTGATTCATGCTTTGCTCAAAATGCAGATCTGTATTTAAAAGCTTGTTTGGGCAGTGGTGGGTGGGGTGTTTGTTTTTTCGTAGACTTTGGCTTTGTTCATAATTCAAATGCATATAGCATGCATTTCAATTTTGTCTTACAAAAGCCCAATTTATTTAATAAATTTCAGAATCTGATCACATAGAGACCGCTGTTCACATACCCTGAATTGACTAAATATGTGAAAAACATAAATTGCTGCTATGATACATGTAAGCTATATTATAAAGGGGGAGTCCTTCCTAGATGGGACTGAAAAGGGGGAAAGAAAGAGTGTGTGCTAATTCCTCGCTAGGGCTGTCTTTGTCTTCCTTTCCCCGGTGCCTTGTCAGTGTATGGGACAGCTCCCCATACAGAACCTGGGGTATCCAGGTTCAATAACTCCAAGGTAACATTTTGTCTCATTGGATCATGTTCCTAAGCACTGTAGATTTAGTGGAGGTCAGGGGAGCAGAGACACTGTAGTCTGCAAAGCAACAATTAGAAGTCACTTCCGAAGTTCATTTAATTTGCATTAAAAACAAAACAGGTTTACACATTTTTATGCCTGGAACTGAATGACTTCACCAGTACTTGATGGTGTTTCCTGGTCTTTTCCTGAGCACTTCAGCTCCTAATGCCTCTCTGAGGTCACTTTTTCCATCCAACACACAGCAGGAGCCTTTTCATTACTGCTGCACTGTGGTTCTTGCCCAAGTTTATAGTTCCTCTCTACAGAAGCTCTTTATTCATCTGCTGTGTTTTACCCTAACTGTTTACAGGTACAGAATAATGTATCCTCTAAACAGTTAGTAGTAAAATTTTCCCTTCAGACCAATAGCTGTTCTGTTTCTTACCATCCCACCTCTAATCCCCTTAATGATTTGAATAAGAACTGCTTGTACTCACTAAGGAAAGAACATGGAAAAAAATCACATGACTTAATGTGTGAGTGTGCTTTTAAAATTTTTAGATGATTCTGGAAAATTTCCTCCAAATCAATCTGACCAAAATCAAAAATTGACATTTTAGATCTCAGGGTACTGAGTGATTCCTAATGAATATGAGGAAGCCTTGAATTAAAGTTCATTCTTTGATTAATGTATCTTTGAACATTTTCTGGGCTTTTTTTTTTCTTAGATGGCTGTGGCGAGGGCTGGGGGTATAAAGCTGATATGCTGTGACCTCAGTCCACAAGGAATCAGACAACCAACGACAGCTCTCCTTTGCCAAATCTAAAGGGTGTTGTAAATATGAGGGAGGGATACTGCCACACAATATGTAAAAGTTATATCATTTAGGAAGTTTAATTAAGGCTGAAGGGATTCAACTTTTGGTAAATTATACACATTTTGAACTATCGTGTCTATTTGCTCCAATGGACTGAAAATAGATAGGAAACAATATCATACAACATACCTCTTAAACAATTATGTACCTAAGAAACGTGGAGAGCATTACAAGATAGTATTAAATATAAATGCTGTCATAACTGTAGCGGTTTATTAACTACCAAGTGCTCCTATGCTCTTTAAAAGGGGTTGATGTTATTTACATTAACGTGCTAGCCTCATTTAATAAGTGATGAAATTAGGGCAACAATTGGTTAAATAGTGGCTTCATGCAGTAACAAGTGAGGGATAATGAGGATTAGACCCAAATCTCTTAACACCTAACTCAATTTTCTCTTCAGAATAACATTCTGTCTCTTTCTTGTGTGGTGCAGAGAAATATATTCATGTATGTCAAGGAGCCTTCGAAAGGAAAAATTGATTCTGCTTAGTCCTGGAGGGAGTTAGAAAGTGATTTAGGAATTCATTATATTATCCCCTTGTGCTCTTGAACAAATGTATCAAGATGTCAAATTGTTTATGTATAGTTTGGGAAACCATATTCATAAGCAATATATTTACAAAGTTTTGTTTCAAAGAACAAATACATTCATGTCCATTTCTTCTGTAGGCAAACCTAAAACACTAATGTTCAATGAGAAGTTCAGAAATGTTCTCTGCTTGTGTTAGCTAAATTTTCTGTGGGCACAGAGTAAACTCAGGAAAACATTTAAATGATGATTTCAAATTCAGTGAAGAAAAGTCTTGCACCCTAAATACCCCCCAGGTCTTTTTGCAACTGCTTGAAATCCTACTATAATTCTGTTGTTTAATCATGAAATTTTAATCCGGTTTAATTTGACAAGTGTTTTCATAGCATCCCCATAGACAAAGGCACAATATAAAGATTTATTACTAAACTCAACAGATAAATGTAATCAGTTAAGTTGTTAGAAGACTTTCTAAATATTTATTCTCAATTTCTGTGCATCTTTAATTGCAGAACAGACTATGTGGACTGAAAGCTTTGTGCAGACCCCACCCTGAGTAGCCAGAGTTAGAAGCAATGAGATGAGCACCCAGGCATAAGGATGGACTAAATTATGTTGCAATAACAGCTAGTGTATTCATTACCTGATATTTATTCTTCCACACATCACAAGTTCATTGTACATGAGTTCTTACTCTATACAGGAATCAGGTTAATGGAACCTTTGCTACATCAAATGCCGTGGACTCAATGGCAGAAGGAAGCCAGTACAGTATACTGCACCACATGC